GAACCTACTAGCTTGTTTCCGAAGGCGTGAGGCAAGCGACGATAATTTTAAGTTATTAATCTACACCTCCCTCTTGCTGCGTTCTCTCTAGCCACCAGTTGAATGTGGCCGCGGGTGCAAGTAGAGGTCTATGGGGCTACCATTGACAGGGACTTGGAGCCCCCTGAACTCATAGAGGGGGATCTGGTCGAGCTCACGATCCCCGGGCGCAACATTCGACATGTTGACGGCCAGTTTGCGTGGAGGTTCACAATCTTGTCCGAGGACGTGTGGCCTTGGACGTACAGAAAGCACCGACTGGGGCAAGGAGTGGGCGTAGTGAGAGCCTACTTGTATTTGGGACCAGGTGCGGTCAGGGAGGCCGAAGTGGGCCTCGCGACGACAGGGACGAGTGGCACAGTTAGCAGGGCGTTACGCTACCTAGGGGAAGAGGTAGCTGTCTTCCGAGCGGAGGACTCGACTGACCCGTTGACCCTATTTCACGGACGCGCTCCTCTTGATATCACGGGCGAGCTGGTGGTAGCACGAGACGGGTTTTTCCCATACAACGTTAGGAACCTGCGGGCGATAGTTCCGACGTTCGTAGTAGAGAGCGTCTTTCGAGGTATTGGTGGAGTGGTCGAGACATACCTGGCCTATCAGGATCTCAAGATCCTGGTGAGAAGGCCTGCCGACCTAGACTACATCTATTATTCGCTCGCAACCGGTGGACCTCGTTGGGGAGACGAGAGGGTTCAGCTTATAGAGCTGATCCGCTCGATAGACGACGAGTGGCCCCAGTCTCCATGCATTGGGGATTGGCTAGACCGTGAGCTCCGAGCAGGCCCCGAGTACGTGGCCTGCATCGGGCGGCTCTTCTTAGACGACTGGGAGAGCTGGTGGGGTGAGGACGCCGGGCGACCTCTGATATACGGCCATCAGTTGGCGCAATACTACCAGGGTATAGGAAAGACGCCATACCGCGTCGAGGACGAGTTTGACGACGAGGGTTGGGAGCGAGAGGACGACGAGGACGCCTGGGAGCCAGACTGGGTCGACCCAGAGAGTGAGGTTGACGAGGAGGAGATTGACGTTACAGACGCCCATTTTCCCAGGATAGGAGTAGCAGTCCGGGCATAGGAGGTAGAGGAGCACTTTAGGGCGACGATTGAGTGAGCTTGGCTACTGATCCTACTCGACCACACTGGACCTGAGTGCGAGAGTTGTTTGAAGGGTTAGCAACGTCGAGAGATGGGGTGCATCGGAGGGAGTAGAGTGATGCTGACCGAGAGTAGGAGGAGAGATGAGGAGTGATTCAGTGGCCTGGTTAGCTTATGTTCTCTCACGAGAGTCCGAGTCGTATAGTGTGAGGAAGCTTGTAAGACCCAGAGAGAGGGCGGTTGGATACGACATACCACTTCCTGTGGCGTTTAAAGAGGCAGGGCGTGTACCGATATGATACTTGGGAACGTGGCTCGCAGAGGGGCTCTTCCTTTGGACAGTAATACTACGAGACGAACGACCCAAGAGGACTCATGATTTAGAAGGGGTCGGACATCTGATAGCGGATAGAGCACACGATTTAGAGATAGGACTGACACTCGCAGGGGCGAGCAGGAGTTGGTGAAGAAGCGAGTCGTTGGCCAGAGTGATCGTTAATCAGCAACTGGCGAGACTCTCTGGAGGGAGGACGAGTTAGAGCTGCTTGGTATACGGTCCACCACATCCGACCCTCTACCCGAGAAAGGATTGGCGATTCGGACTTCCTACCTTCGTGATAGGGCAGACCTATGGGAGCGTGGATCGTTTGAGTAGAGCAGTGGACCACACACTTTACGCGCTCTGGGAGGGCTTAGCGCCCCGCTTCAAGGAAGTATACTACGCCATTTATGTGAGGTGGGGCCCGCCCAGTAGAGAGACGCTTGACGACATCATAGACGTTACTAGCTGGGTGGACTGTCTGAGGCCAATCGATCTGATTAGGTACTGCAAGAGACGGGCAGAGATCGATTTCGTTGGGCTAGAGGATGTGAGATTTCTCTTCGAGGCCGCAGCTTAGGGAATGCCGGGAAGGACGGCCACGGTGATGCGTGTAGGAGAGAAACTGGTAAGCGCAGGATACACTGTGACAGTACTTCTCCGAGCGTACGTAGACGAGGACTTGACAACGAGTGAGTGCAGACAACGAACCAGGGATTTGATCCACGAGCGTAGAGCTGATGTACTGGCGCGAGTGACCTTCCAGACCTCGATTTCCTATGATGTGATGATATGGTCTCATGGTTATATGCGCGCGGAGCACTACCACGATGAGACGATAGCGGAGGCTAGAGCGAGGGTGAGAGGATGAGCTGGAAAAAGATATAGACTGAGTATGGAAGAGGAGAGTGAGGCAGTCGGAAAAGTGAGAAAGCGCGTTAAAGAACCACTCTTGAACCAACGGAAGACAAAGTAACGCAGGGAAGTAGCGAGAGGACGTGAGCGGGACTGCTTTACACACGACGGATCGGTACTCATTACATATGGTAAGGAGACTGGACGGACCATTAGTGTTAGTGATCATAAAACTCCAGCTCCATACCAGACTGTGCATAGTTGAGGAGGCAGAGTGTGTCCGCCGCGCG